GCAGCTGAATCTGGAGCCAGTTCCGACTTACATACAAATTCAGCTTAAGAACAAACCTATAGTCCCTATCTTGTACATAACCCGGGGACTGCCTGTAGTGTAGTATTGACTCCTTGAAATTCCTCACATTATCACAGTGTCGTATCTAACTTTTGACATAAACCTTCCTCACTGTATAACACTATTTCTAAAGTTAAAATTCATGGTTTGGGGATCTGGATTGGGGACAGGAAACATACCAACAAATTGGATTATATTAAATGACCTTAATTAAAAACATTGAAACTAAGGTCCTAAGAGTTCAAGCTGTAAAGTAGATTTTATTTTGAAGCTGTCAGTGAACTTGTGAAAGACAACTGTAAGTACTTTCTACCTATATTATCAGTAATTCATAAACACCAACTGTCTATCACATCTGTAATTAGGATGATGAAAAATGAGCTATAGTGAAGATGGAGATTTTTCTGTGAGAGGGTAAAAGTTAAGTTTGTTGTTGTTAGGGAATGTGACTCACTACAGCATGATAGGGTGCTCTTCCTTGTTTCTATTATTTTGAAGTATTTCAAATTCTTTCTAAACATACAGCCCAGTTCAGCAAGATAGTTCAGCATGAAGAGTCTGACTAAAGCCAATTATAATGATCTAATATTAAAAAAAATCCTTCTTATTGTCTGTTATCTTTTGTGTAATAGTTCGTATTAAAATGATAACAGTTTAAAAATGTTAACACTTTGGGATAGCCTATGACCATGGTAACAACAACTGAAAGGCAAAGACTATGTGCCTTAAGTTCTACTCATCCCAAAGCCCAAATACTACTGTGTTTATAAGCAGTCTTTATTATTACATGGGCCACATTTTTATTACCCCAAATATTGCCCTCAATTACTTCAACAGGAGCTGCCACTATATAGCTGGGAACAAAATGCATCTGATTCTTTTGTCTCCCTGTGCCTTGAGAAACTATTGCTGAAGTCACTAAGTATCCAGCTACTAGGTTAGTCTCCTTGATTTGTCTCCTGATTTTTTTTTAGAACTACCAAAGAAACCTTCATGATGCTTTTCCACCTTACCAATGAAAAGTGCCACATCACTGGCCAAATAGAGTGGTAAACTCTCATCTCTCAAAGAATGGGAAGTCCCACTAATATGTTGGCCATTAACCTCTTGCTACAGCTGAATTTTGCAGAATTAAAATCCTCAAACAATGGTATTGATATTTTGCATTGAGTTAGCACTTTGCATCTTCCAAGTGCTGTTCAGAGGTTTCACTCAGTAATTGTCTACACACCACTGTGAGGAAGGCAACTATTACCTTGGTTTTATAGGGGAGGAAACAGCCAAGGGGAGGTTAAAGTGACTTGCCAAGTAGCAGACAAGTCAGTAGTAAAGCTAGGATTACAGTTGACTCACTAGATTACACTGTTGAGAGAGGTCATATCCCAGAATAGTGCACAAAGTTACAGTTTATTATTGATAATGATCTAATAAAGGGCACTAGCTGTTTTTATGGGAGTCATTGTATAATGTCTTTAATAATCCAACATTAGCTACTCAGTAAAAGAACTATAGCCTTCCATTGTTATGGGGGTAGCAATGTATCCATAGTTATTTCTCCATGCTCCTTATATGTATTTTTGTGCTGGTTGTATTTCAGTAGTTTTAATTTTGATTGAACAGCATTCAAAAAGTAGATGCAAGGATTTTTAACTAATATTTACATTACTTGGTAAAATCCTCTCTCAGATCTTGCTTAACTATTCTAACCCAGACTGTGCTTCTTGGACCCACCACTGCAGCGACCACCTTGCAAGGTTCAAGGTCTGCACTAGAGGGACCAGGGCAGGTTAGAGAAGGATGCACATTGCATCCTCCCACCATGGAAATTTCTCAAATAAATAAATTCAGACTCAGCTTGTATTATTTTTCTCCTGGAGGCAGCCCAGGTCAGAGGAGAATCTTTTAGTACAGTCTCTATGGACTTGTGTTCCTGGGGAGCCAGTGAGTAGGGTGGGAGATGGTGGCTGCTGAGGAGGCACAAAAGCTCCATGAAGATGAACCTGACCTTTTTTAGACCCGTGGGGAGGTGCTAAAGTTTGCAAGCAGGCTTTGGGCCTTTCATTCAGGGATGCAAGCCTGCTCCTTACATGGCCCAATATAGTAGGGGAGGTGAATAACTGCAAAGAAATCACTTTTAGGTGGCCCCATCCCACACATTTTCCCCCGGAAGATGGAGGACGAGCCAGCAGATACTGCTAAATTTGGTAACTAATCTTCTTCTCTGTACATATTTGCATATTGTAAAATTCAACAGACATCTCAAACTTAAAAAGGACAATCAATTGTATAATGTATCGAGAAATTGTACTTACTATAAGGCTTCCATTTCTCATTTTCCTTCAGGCAAATGCTATGAATATCCTGGTTACAGAGAGGATTCAAAATATGTCAGGCAACGGATAGTAAGTACAGAATTTGAAGTTCATTTGTACCTGATCATTTTAATCTCTAGCTCTTGTGTTGACAATTTAAGGCATCAGCAGTTCATCCTAGTTAAATGATTGAAGATTTACAACAAAAGTTGGTTACCTGTCTGTAACTGTTGTTCTTCAAGATGTGCTGCAGACATGCATTCCATGTAGGTGTAGGCATGCCCCATTCACTTGAACCTGAGTACTTTGTCTGGCAGTACTCTTAAGCGTGGTGATCATGCCATCATGCATAGCCTTCCTCAGCTCATATAAGGATGACACTGCCCCAGACCTCTCAGTCCCTTTGCACTGAATGTCAGGAGTATAGACATTGGTGCAGATGGGAAGGAGGATGGACTATAGAGCATCTCTGCATCGCATCTCAAAGACCAAAAACAGGTGGGTGTTTTTTCTTCCTTGTAGAGATGCAGCTGTGTATTCCATGGCTCACAACTTGCATACAGTATTACTAGGAGGTGGGCTCTGAATGTACTTACAGAAGGACCACAGGACTGCCTTTCCAAAGGCTGGGATTCATCTGACTACAGACGTAATGGCGTAGTGGTTTGCAAAAGTATGCACAGAGGACCAAGTGACAGCCCTCTAAATGTCCAATATAGGAATGTCACTTAGAAATGCCTTTGGCATCACCTGAGTTCTTGTAAAATGAGTTTGTATCCCTTGAGGCACTGTAGTCTGGGCTACTTCATGCTGCCATGATACAGGAAATTATCCACCTGAAGACTGCCTGTGGAGAGACTGCTTTACCCGTCATTCAGTCTGCATAGGAAACAAGCAGAGGAGGTGAAGAACAGAAAGGGTTAGTTCTATCCAGATAAAAGGGTAAACATCACTTGACATCTGATGTGTGAAGAATCTGCTTCTCGGGGATTGAACGCAGTTCAGGGAAAAACACTGGTTGAATATAACTTAAGTCAAACTGGGAAACTGCCTTAGAATAAAACTTCAAGGTGTGGCTGCAGGGGTCCTTTGTCTCTGGAAAACTGTGTAAGGAGGATCTGACATCAAAGCCTGCAACGCACAGGCTCCACTTGTAGATGCAGAAGGCATTTTTCAGACACAGAAGGGGGTAAAGAGTTGCCAGAGGCTCAAATGGAGGTCTCAGAAAAACCACTCAAACTGTATTAAAGTCCTATAAAGGAACTAGCTCTTTAACTGATGAGCAGAGATGAGTAACTCCTTTCAAGAAACTCATTGCCATGGAATTTGAAAATATCAACTTTCCATAGATAGGTGGATGAAACACCAAAATTCTCACCAGGTGGACTTTCAATGGACCAACTAGAAGATCAGAAGACTGAAGGTATAACAAATATATTGGCTTGTATTCGGGATATCTTGGAATGTTGGCTTAACTCCCTGGGTTAACCATCATACCAAGAATCACTTCCATTTGGTTGAATAGGCTGTTCAGAGGAGGTTTTCCTCCTGCTAAGCAAGACCTGCTGGACATTAGGGATGTCATTGTGTAGTTGAGTAAACGATTAACAGATAAGTCTAAACTTATCGGTTAATCCTGTTGACTGCACACACTCCCCCCCTCCCTCCACTTGTTGCAAAGAGCGGTGGAGCAGGAGCCAGTGCCCATGAGGAGCTGGCTTTAAGCAGGCTCCCCCCATGAGCAATGGATCCATTTGTCCCCTCTACCTCCATGCTGCTGCCTCTGGTACAGAGGCAGCAGCGCAGAGCAGCAGGCAGCATGTCTGTGTGGAGAGCTGGTTTTTGAACTGGCTCGCCTCATGGACTAGCTCCCTCCTGCCACTCTGTGCTGCTGCCTCTGTATGCAGGATGACAAGCGGCTCTCCGGGAGTGGGTCAGAGTGCACTGGCTGCCAGCCCCACCCCCAGGAACTATCGAATAGTAGTGTAACTGCTAAGATTTCATGTAGTTACATGACTATTCAATGACACAATATTTAACATCCCTGCTGGACATCCTTCCTCCTCATTTAGCAATGCAATCGCTGCCAGGAAGTTAGGGGCCTGGTGAGGATAGAAACCCTCAAACCCTGGCTTGGGAACGAAGTATTGTTTCTCTGAACACTTTGCCATAGGTGTCAATGAAGCTGGGGTATTCCAAAGGGCCTTTGCAGGTTTCAGGAGAGTTTATTGGTAGGGCAAATCTCCCTGGAGCTGATGATTGAAGACTGTTCAGCAGCTTCTGCATAATCTTCTGCAGGAATTCCCTGTAGATGCCCAAAGTAATGTCATGTTCCGCAGGAAGTCCTGATGTATCTTAAAGTCCTCTGGCAGTGAGGGACAGGAAGATTCTGGCATGGTGGCACCATCCAGGCAGGAGAGGAGGCAGTTCACTACGCCAATGACGGATCCTGTTCTTGCAACACAAGATCCAGTCAGAAGAGCCATGTAGGTTCCAAGGAAATGGATTCAGTGGTCACTTGCAGCTGAGGCAGTATGAGAACAGGAGTCACTGTCAGGACCAGTGATATCTCTGGATTATATCAAGGAGTAGGGTACCAGGGACCCTGAAGTGTCCCAGGGATTCCAAGGAAACCACTTGGCATGCAGATAAGGCACTGGCAGTCAGTGGGCACCAGCTCAAGATATCCTATCCTAATCTTGGTATCAATAGTGATCTCAGGGCAATCTTGGGCATGTCCAAGAAGGATGACAATGACACTCACCTGGCTCTTGAGGAATCTTAGAGGTTCTGTGGTGACAAATGGGCGAGCCAGCCCTGATGGGCCAAACTACTACTGAGACTCATCTGAAACCCAATATGGAGGCAGCATCGGTGCTGAAAAGGAGCGAGGAACTGGCACTACTAGCATACTAGCACC